TGACTTTTCCTTAGAGGAGTTCTTATTACAGGGGTGGGGAAATCACAAATCAAGGAAAAGAGAAAGCCAGCCAAGCAGTGTTGTCCTCAGCATAGAAGAGGAGGAGGAATACAGAAAGAGGAGAGGCAGTGGCAGGCCTCCCAGCCTAAGAGCTAAGGATCTGCTGTAAGGAGGGGAGGTTCCAGAAGCAAGCCCAAGCACAAAGTGGGAAGCATATGTTTGTATTAATTGGTGCCAGCCCGACTGTTTCACATCCATTTCTTTTCCACGTTCCCTGCAATGATGTGTTTAAAATGCTCTTTATGAATTCTCGGTGTTTCTGTCAATATTCGGAAGCTATAACAAATAATATTATAACCACAGGGCAAGTGTTCATGGGTTTTCTTAAAAACAAAACAAAACAAAAAACGGTGAAGCAAAAGTTTGCATTGTTGAGCCTCAGCCTGCCCGTTCTGTACCCATTCTCTTCCCTTTGCTGGGTCCCATTTACTGCCCTGCTCCCCTCACTTCCGCCCTCTCAGGGAAAAGCCAGCAATACTTAGCTGGTATTTCCTGTTTGCAAATTTATCTGAATCTGAAATTTAGTCACACTAACATGAAAATGACAGGTAACAGTTCAAATAGCACACCAGGGCTTTTTTTCCTAAATCCATCGCATCTTCAGAAGATATTGAGGGGGTGGTCTATTAGATACCGGGAAGTTCTCTAGGTTCTGGAGATGCCTCAAGGAGTAATAGAGTTATGGTTCCTCTGCTATAGGGTGTATATATTGCTGAGGCAGCACATAAAACACAGGTACAGAGGAAGAATTTAGCAGTGAGAAGGGCTTTCAAAACAATGAAACTACGCCATTGGTACTATGTGGGAGGGGGTGAGCAGGGAATGAGAGCTGCTTAGGAGCGCCCTCTTAGAATTAGCATCTGAACTGACACCTGCAGGAGCAGGAGGGCAATGTCTCAGAAGAATCCCAAAATCTCAAATGGAAGGAAAAGCTACAGACTGGAGGACTTCAGGAGCAGATAGCAGCAGAGCCTGAAGGTGGATGGCAGGGTCACATGACAGGACATGTGGCTGGAGATGGATGTGACCACTAGATTCTGTAGGCTCTTGAAGGCCAAGACAATATGCTGGTGTTGATGCAAGAGCCTCGAGTGGGTGTTAAGCAAAAGATTGTGATGATCTGATTGACACATTGATGTGATCCTGCTGGTTGCCTTATAGGAGTTGGGCAGGGAGCCGTCTGGGATAGTTGGCATAGTCCAAGTGAAAGGGTGGCTGAGACCAGGGGACAGTGGAGCCGGAGAGAAATAAATGGATTTGGGAAATTGTATGGCAGTGTGGAGATAGGGACAATGTGTGTGAGTGAAGTGCTACGTGAATAGCAACACTCAGTGTTTCTGTCTCTTCCTTTTCATGTTCTATTCAAAGGGATGTTTGTAGGGAATAGGGGCTCAATGTTGTATTGAGTTAAGACTATTGTTAAGGTAGACCTAGCTGGCATTCTATTTGTTGAGATTTTTCTACTAAAGAATCAATTCAGCATGTTTTGAGAGATATCCTTTAACTAATTAATTATGTTCACAGAAGAAGCGATTGTTAGATTTTTGCTTACCATTGCTTCTTTATGAGCAAGAATGAGTGCTGCTATTTGTATTTTTATTCATCTATTTTTAAACATTTATCACAGTCCATTTGTATTTTTTAAAAAGATGAAAAAATAATTCTTCACCAATAATATATGTATGATTTATTTCTCCTTCGTTCCTTTCTATTTCTTATACAGATTCTCTATGATAATAAATTACTGTTTAAAATTGTAAAATTTATGCTTAGTTTTATTATATTTAGGAAGTCACACTTCTGATGGCTCATAGTGGGAGACTATAGCTAATGGCCATGGGACAAATATTAATAATTTTTCTTTTTCTGAAAAATAGATTGCCCAGAAATTTCCACGATGTTTGCACACAATTATGGACGCCATGAAAAAAGACAAAATAGTCTTCCCCAATGATGAAAAGTAAGTGAGTATTGACAAAATATCAAGTATCACTCAGAGAGGTTGGGTGGGAAATGAGGGGTGACTTATTGGACAATAAATCTAAATATATATACATATTAGAATATTGATCTATCATTCTTAGATGAGCACTAGGCTTTGAAATAGAATATTTGGGAATTATATGACACTTTCTGCAGTGACTTTCACAATTTTGTTCTCTTAGGAACCCTCCAAGGGAACCGTATGTTTAATAGGACATATCCAGATTTTGTGACAGTCCTGCGCGGTCTAGTCTAGCACACCTTGGGGAATCCCTCACCTGTAGGCCTTATTCCCTATGGAACAAAATCTTATCCGCCCTCTAGCTGACTAGCCTGCCGGTGAATCCAACTACCGGAGTTTGGTAACTTAGCATGCCCCCTGTGGAACAGTTAAGGATATTTGCAAAAGGAGTTGTTAGCAATATGTTGATGGCTGCACCATATGTGAGAGAATCTGACAGCTCCAGGAGTCACTGTGACAGGGAGGGATGGGCATGGGAATTTGGGACAGTTTTGGAGTGGGAGACAAGATGCCATAGCTGTTATGAGTTATGAAGCTAGAAGCATGACCAGAAAGCCAATCCACCCTGCTAAGGTACATTTTTGGGGAGAGTAAAACACATTATAACCAAGAAATCACGTTGGTCCTGGGGCAGTTTCTGTTCTGTTAAGTTATTTTTGATGGTCTCCAGTGAAAGTATTCCACTACTGCAGAATGTTGTACAATAAGGAAGATGAGGCCTTTCTAACAGTACAGATTCCATGTAACAGTATTTCTTCTTAAGTATTTCCCAAAATCATGGAGAAGAAAATTTAGTTAAATTATCAGAGAAAACAGCAATGAGGGAAAGCTTGCCGTGTGAAGCTGTTAGGTTTAAGAGTCAAGTAAAGACATCTTGCATGCTTGGGCAAGCCTCCTGCTTTCCTGAAGGGTTAACTAGAAGATGGTGAGTGAACTTACTGCGCTCCTTCCACCTGTCCCTAGCGTTAAGTTCCTGTCTTCCCCACTGCTCATCTTACATGGAGAGGATGACAGGACGGTGCCTCTGGAGTGTGGGAAAAAGGTGAGTGAAGAGCCCAGCGCTGGGCACGGAGGCATCCTGGACTCAGGTCATTGTCTGCCAGGCAGCCACACTTGGATGAGAGTTTCTGGCAGGTGTCTGATGTTGTGAGGAGTGTTCACAGCCCTGACTAGCCACCCTGCCCTTACACAGTGAGCCTCAGTATCCTTGGCTGTTGCTCAGCCTAAAGGCATGCATGTGGCAGGTGCTGGTTTCTCCTCTGTGCCTGCAGAGACAAGATCTCAGGTTGCTGTGGAAACCTCCCTGCAGTCTGTCAGAGCAGCATTGCAGGCAGAGGGGGCAGGTCTTGGGGGTAGTGGATGCTCATCGGGACACCTGTGTACTATACTGGAGGGGCTGGGTTCAGATACCAGGCTCTACTCCTAACTCCAGCCTCCTGTGAATGCAGACTGCAGCAGGCAGCAGGTGATGGCTCAAATAGCTATGTTCCTGCCTCTCTTGTGAGTGACCCTGAGTTTGTAGCCCTCAGCTTCAGCCTGGCCAAGCCACTGCTGTTTTGAGAATTAGAGGAATGACTCAGTGGGTAGGAGCTAGTACATGCTAGCTCCTCCTCTCTCTCTGAAATTTCAAAGAAAAAATACAGATGCAGTCCTTTCCTTTCTGTGCCTCTCTGCTAGAGTTGGGTCCATGGCAACTCCTCGTGCCTCTGCAAGGATTTTCAGGTGGGGAGGACAAGGCTAGTCTGTTCTCTTTCCGAAAGGGGAGATCAATGAGAGAACCCTTGGCTTTGAGTTGCCGGCCCCTGAGAGATGGTCTTCCCGTTTTTTTGCAGCTCTATGAAATTGCCCGCACAGCATATAGGCACAAGGAGAGGGTCCAGCTGGTTATCTTTCCTCCTGGCTTCCACCACAACCTTCTTTGTAAAAGTCCCCTGCTGTTAATGGCTGTGAGGTAAGAATACCTTTGCTCAATGTCATTCTTCCTGCTCCTGGCATGTTGGGCTGCCCTGGTTTCTGAGTCCTTGGAGCGGGGATGGGGGTGGGGTGGTGGGGTGGGGTGTTTGGAGGGGTTGGGGGGGGATGTGTTCACTGATCCTGCTCTTTTCTCTGCAGAGATTTCCTGAGCAAGCAATGGGCCTGAGGACAGAAACCTGTAGTGAAGACCTGATCCCAACCGTGCCCTCCGCTCCCTGAGTCTGTGTTGTGTGTTATTTTTATATGGGGCCACCTGGATGAACTGAGGCTATTTGCCATTTTAATAAGGGAAGCATGGATGCTTCATGCAGAATTTCCATGTGGGGAATCACACCTTGGCAAAAATGTGGCAGTCAGCTAATGACGTGTAGTGTTCCAAGATCCTGGGGGTGGGGAGGTATCTGTGAAGAAGGTGGCTGCTTGGTTGGACTCTCTGTCTGTCCCCAGAACATGCACATTGAAGTCCAACCACCAGTGTGATGGCAGTAGGAGGCTGGGTGTTTGGTGGGGAAGGGTGTTCCCAGGGTGACAGGGATGAGTACTCATGCGTGGCATTAGTGCCCTGTAACATAGGCCGGAGGAAGTTCCTTACCTCTTGCACCATGTGAGGATGCAGAGAAGGTGCCACCCAGGAGCCAGGCTAGAGCCCTTACCAGATTTGCAATCCACCAGCACCTTGATCTTAAACACCTCAGCCTCCTACAATCCTAGTGTCACCCAGTTATCCGGGTGGGGTGTTGTCTTACAGCGACCTGAATAGATCGGGGCAGTGATCTTAGCTTTGGACTCAAGAGTCTAAGAAAGGTATTCCAAGGTACTCAAGTGATTTGTATTTTACTCAAGTTCTTTTAAAGGCTCTTAAAAAGTTCCAAGCAGTTTCTTATTTTTTTCGGATTAGTTTTGCAGGAAGTCCTAGTAGTTTACTGATTGGTTATAAAATAATGGCTTGGCAACTCACATAGCCCTTGGAAATGGACACTTTATTATTAACCCTAATCCTCTGTTCTTCCCCTTCCCGGAGATACCTAACCAGATCATTTAGCTAATAAAGGAAAACAAAATCAATAAATGTCATAAAAATGTTCGAGTTCAGTAAGAAGTTACTTTTCCCAAAGGCCTTTTACAAGTCATTTTCCATCAGCTTTGTTCACACCATTGCTAGCTTCATGAGATAGGGAAATCTTGAGATCTGAAGGTTCCATGTTCCAGATATCCCTGGCATATTCCTTAATTGTTCGGTCGCTGGAGAATTTCCCCGAGGCAGCTATGTTTCTGAGTACCATGGTGTTCCAGGCCTTGGGATTCTGTAGATAAAAAATGGAAGCAAGACATGAGGCTGTGCATGGTCAAGCATGCTTCCTATGGAGGTGGTAGAAGCCGCCCAGAGCGAGGTGTGAGCACATGCACCCTGCAATTGTAATACACACCTCTTAGGAGTAAAAAAAAATATTTTCCATTAAAAAAGAAACCAGGGATGTGAGTTCTTCAATCGGTCATTCCAGCTGTCTCTCCCATTATTAAGAATGAAGGAAGCGCCCTTTAAACCAGGGCTGGGGAACTTCCAGCTACAGGCTGTATAAAGCCCATGAAATCATCTGGTCTGGCCCTGCCAAGGCAACCGCAGATGGGACTTGAAATTTGACAAACATAGAGCAGGCTGAATTTTAAGTTGATAAAAGTGAATAACCCATACATACTCAATAGCTCTTGGCAGAAAACACATTCTCAACCCTTGCTCCAAGAGGAAGAAGGAAACTCATATTTGTTGTCTGCAGGGTATCTCATCAAGAGATTTAACCTGTGGGTCATAAAGCTTGAAAACCACTGCTGTGCCATCTGAGCTACAATGTAGGCAGACAGTGAGATGAGAGGCTGATGGGCTACTCAGCCGTTCTCGTTCTTTCTGAAAGTACACACACCAACAGGTTCACACTGAACCTCAAATTCTCCCCTGGGACCTCAGAACAGGGTCAGTGAAGGCTTTTATCCTTGAAGGAAATGATCTTATCAAAAATTTCATCATTTTATATAAAAGAATACAAGAAAAAATGTTGTAGTCTCATGATTTTTAAAGAACTTTAAAAGTTTGTTGAGAATGAGAGGGGCATCACTCAAAGCCATTAGCCAAGCACTATAAGCATTGAAAATACTAAAAGCGTCCTGCTTCTTCAAGTTACTGCAGAACAGTCTTGCCATTAGTTCATGCAGAGTTGGCACATCCCTTAATGAGATGGGAACAAGCATGTCCTCTTTCCTTTTTCTTTAGCTGTTGAAGTGGATAATGAGTAAACTTCCTAGTCATGTGGGTCAGGTTCATTAAGCCTCAACAATACAATTATTGTTTAGAAGACTGTAATGGGCACTAATGAACAAGAAAAACCGAATAAAATTCTGGGTTTCTAGATGGACTTCCTTTGGGTTGGGCCATCATTTCAACAGAGGAGATCCACTGTGTCAACCTGACATTCTTCCTTCCCCTTGTTCATATTCTTTTCTGATCTGTTTTCCTTTCTTGTGGTGACTTTTATGTCTCGCCATTCTCTTTCCTCTTTCTGGCTGCTCTCTCCAGGGTTCAGAAAACATGCAGTGAGCTGCTTGGCCCATGCTCCAGTAATGCCTTGCTTCTTCAGAGCTATCCACATGAGCTTCCTTGGGTCTGTGTGACTAGATATGAGTGTACCAGTAGCCTTGTGAGTCAGCAGAGGTCTTTTTTTTTTTTTCTTTTAAAGATGGATTTGTTTTATTTGGAAAGCAGAGTGGCAAAGAATTAGAAGCAGAAAGACAGAGAGATTTTTCCCTTCATTGATTTATTTCCCAAATGGCCATTAACAGCTGGAGCTTGGCAAGGCTGACACCAGAAACCTAGGACTCCATCCAGATCTCCCACATGGGTGGCAGGGGCCCATGCACTGGGACCACCATCTGCTGCCTTCGTAGGGAGCTGGATCAAAAGTGGAGTAGCTGTTACTATTGAACCAGTGCTCTATTATGGGATATCGGTGTTGTAATCAGAGGTTTAACCTGCTGTTTTACAGTGCCAGCCCTTAATATAGGTCTGTAATGATCCTATTTTATACCCCTCATAGGACACTGGGATGACTGTAAGAACTACCCAGTCACCTGCCTTAGGAAAAATAAATAGAAATGTCAGTGATCTGTCCCTATTCTGGGAAGCTTCTGAATCTGTCCCTTAGGCACAGTTGAGAGTCACTCTCTTCTGTCACAGGCCATGAACCTTTGCACACACTCACCAGACCCACCTATGGGGCTGATGTGGGAGGGTGGCTGTGTGAGGAGGCTTACACAACTGGCTCCAGTCCTTTGTTTTTCTAGCAGTGTCTTTATTCCTGTTAAACATCCAAATATGACATTTGTTCTCTTGTGCAAGTTTATTTCTTTTTAGACAGCCCCCACTCCATGAGTAGCCCAGGAGGGCTACCTACTGTGTGATTTTCAAAGAGTAAATGGTCAACCTGAAGGCCGATAAAGCTCAGCCATAGTGTCATCTGGGCTCTTTCAGTACTCATGTGGAGTACACCTGCTGCTGGCTGAGAATCCTGGGGGCCTGGCATCTGCACTGAGAGCTGCCCTGTGACTCTGGGGTGCTCCTCTGCTCTTTGAAGAGGCAGTCTTAACAGGCTGATTGAGGGGAGGCACCTTGAATCTGTTCATGTTGTGGTCTTGGCACCTTCCAGAGGCAGGAGATCCTTACCACCCTGGACAGGCCTGCTTACCAATGGCAGGTGCCCAATAAATACCAAATTATCTGTGATTATTATTTGACTATTACACAATTCATAACTGCTAATGAAATCTCAAATCGCAACCTCTGCCTGAACTTGGGAAAGACCACATTTTGATTAGAACCTTGGCAATTTCCTCACTTTTATTAAAGAAATAACAAAACAAAACAAAACAGGTCCCTGCTCTTTAGATCAAATAAAAAGAAATAAAATTTCTACTGGCTTCCTTTAATGATCCCAGCAACTTACCAGGTACAGCTCACTGACTTTCTCTTGACACTTGACGTAGGCTTCATAATCTGCAAAGACTTTAAATCTGTTGTGAATTTTTTTATGATTGGAAAGAAAAAACAAACAAAAGAAGATTAATTATTAGATGTGTGCTAAGATTCCATTGAAAATTCCCTTCTGCTCAGAGCCAGGTGTGGCTGATTTATAGAACTCATATTTCTCTGGACTAGAATTTGAACCAAACTCAAGCTTTTCAGGGCTCTTCCTACAGATAAGAAAGTCATCCTCTGGGTGTGCGTGAAGGTGGTTACACCAGTGGAAAAAACACATACCAAATGTGTGGGTCTCAGTCTAAAGACTCCCCAGCATTGTCATAGAAGCTGCTTTGGGCTTTTTTTTTTCCAGCCTAGGCTGGATGATCAGATCTTCCATTTATGCTAGTCTACATGAGTGGAATGTAGCCAATTTAAGATGTTCTTGTGCCCCCCCTTTCTTGCGGCTTGAATAGCACCATCTTCTTGCGAGAACTTACCTGTCATGATAAAACAGCATGTTCACGATGTCTTTGAAGAGGTCTGGCTGCTTAGGGGAAAAGAAGCCATTGTCAATTTGGTCAATGACCAGCTTCAGCTCTGGAAGGGCCTCGTAGTATTTTTTTGCCTCATACCTGCAAGGTGGGGATGGGTGGGAGATAGCAGAGTGGCACTGTTAGTGTGATCAGCAGAGTTCTCTACGCTGCATTCACTGGGGAAAACACAATCAGAAACACTAGTAGCTGTTCTCTTACCCTTTTTTGTCCAAAGCAGCCACATCATCTACTCTCATGCCAAAGATGAACAGGTTCTCTTCTCCAGCTTCCTCTGCCATTTCCACGTTGGCTCCATCCATGGTCCCGATGGTCAAGGCCCCATTCAGCATAAACTTCATATTTCCTGTTCCTGAGGCTTCGGTGCCTGCGGTGGATATCTGCTCTGACAGATCTGTGGCTGGAATGACTACAAGAAAGGTACACTGAGATGAATCATTCTGTCTCTCTAGATGTTGTCTCTCAAAAGAGGCAGAGAGGCAGAGAAACAGAGAGAGACGCAGAGTTCCTACCAGCTGGTTCACTCCCCAAATGCCTGCAATGGCAAGAACTGAGCTAGGGGCAAAGCCAGGCAACTCAATCTAGGTCTTCTATGTGGGTAGCTAGAACCCAATTACTTGAATCGTCATCACAGCTTCCCAGCTCTGCATTAGCAGACAAAGGGTAGAGCAGCAGAGGGGCAAGGACTTGAATGCAGCCATTTCCATAAAAAATATGAGAGTTCTAACTAAATCTTGACCTGTTTTGGTCATTAAAATAATACCTGCACTCCAAGATAAAGACTCAGGTGACACAGGATGAATCTTTGTCATTCACAGGCAATCTCTTCTTCCCATCTTTAGATGTGCCGCACAGCTCCAGGCTTATACTGCATTTTCCTGGTTTATAAACTTCAGAGTATTCATCAACTCTGTGCTGTGACTGTTGCATTACATTTCTCCCTTCATTTCCCTTTCCTCTTTCCAGTTTTTGTTAGATTTATTTTGATTTCTCTTACTTCATACTGCACTGTCTTGGTCTTCAAGTCCTAGAGCATCTCCTAAGTCACCTTTTGAAGCCTGAGAAGATGGGGGTCTCTCCAGGTCTCACCTCCTTCCCACTTCCTCTGTGGAGAAGCCCTCCAGTGAGATCTGCCTGGGGCTGGACATCAAGCCCTTGATCTTACAGCTGTATTTACACAGAAAGTAGCCCAATTCCTGCTCCCAGCCCTCCCTTGACTGAAGGGCCAGGACTACTCCTTAGCTTTACTCTTGAGAGTATGTGGATTAGATTTCTCTTCGTCAGCATTCCTAGCAGCCTGACTCTTTTGTCCTTGTGCACACATTCCTTAAACAGTCATGCTAGGGGACTCAAAAGCTCTGCTAAAAGGGAGACTCCCTGTGGTTGTAGCCTAGAACATAGATGAAGACACTGTTGGCAGGTGGCTGGTGCTTTGCCAGCATGTGATACACGCCATTAGAGGTTCCCAGCATGGCTTCTTGCCAGCCTGGCTACATCTGAAAACGCTTGTCTGAGATACAGCCAAGCCTCCTGATGTCTGCCCTCATTCCCTGTTGCTGCAGACATGGCCTTGTTTACCATGTCAGTCAGGGGACCAGCTGGGGAGATGGGAATTGGAGTTCCCCTGTACAGCAAGACTGCAAAATGGAGATTTTTCCTCCCTTTTGTGGAGCATCATTTATACCAGGCCCAAACTTTGGGCACGCTACCCCAGCACCCAGTTCTCCCTGGCAGGAGCAAAGCACACAATGCATGCCTGTGTTTACACATTATGTACTTATAAAGTAAGTGTAACAACGTGACGTGACACTGGAGACCTCAACCTCATTGTCTATTGGGTCACCTGCAAATCTCCAACTTTAGGCCCTTCTTCTACTCAAGAATGATGTCTTCTCTTCAAGATGACTAACTCTGTGAGGTCAGCTACCCCCAATTTCCAGAGTACACAGCCTCTAGAATGTTCCCCAACAGCTGCACACTCCACAGCGAGGGCAGTACCTTTTTCTGCAAGCGACACTCTGTAGTTCTCCAAGAAGACAACTTTCAACTTGCTTCCAACCACAGGGTCATTGTTCACCACTTGAGCCACTGATGTAATCAGCTTTATGATCATTTTGGCCATGTGATATCCTGGAGCAGCCTTGGGGAAAGCATCAAAAAAGACAGAAGGCAGCCACAATGAAGTGGAGAGAGCAGTGACAAGCGATCAGACTCAGCTGGTCCCTTGGAATAGAACCGACTTACTTTGCCACCAATTATTACCGTCCTTGGCACAAACAACTTCTTAGGGTCTTTCTTAATACCTGAAAGAGATGGAGAAGTGGATGGGACGGAAGACAACGTTGGCAGCCTGGGTGGTGCCACCTCCAAGGGGTTGGTCAGCAATGGGGCACACTGACTCACGGTTGTACATGGTGATCACGTGTAGGCAGTTCAGGAGCTGCCGCTTGTACTCGTGGATCCTCTTCACATGGACATCAAACATGGAAGAGGGGTTGATCTTGACTTTATACTCCTTTTCTAAGAACTGGGAAAACTTCATCTTATTCTCCTGTTGAGACATGGCATCGTATCAGAGGCCTATTGATCTTGAGGCCTTGGGTGGTCATTTTTAATCACAGCTGGAGCATGAACCCTCAAAACAGCACCCGAAGCCTTACCTGCTTCACGTTGGCAATTTCTCGGAGGAACACGTCGTCACCCAGGAAGCTGTGCAGCTTCGTCAGCTGGCTCAAGTCTTTCACGTAGTCCTCCCCAATTTTCTTTCCATGTCAAGGAAGAGGTGACTTTAACTCAGGCATGGGTACCAGGTCCAAATGTCTCTATCTAGTGAGTGGTCCTCACTCACCTACAACAGGACCAGGGTACTTCAAAAAGTTCACGAAAAATTGAATTAAAAGACGAGTTTGGGATGGGCATTTGGTGTAGCAGTTAAGATGCCCAGGTCCATTTGCAGTGCAGCACATTGAGCTGCTGCCTGAGATGTTGGCATCCTTTACGGGTGCCAGTTCTAGTCCTAGATGCTGTGCTTCAGTTACAGCTCACTGCTAATGTGCCTAGGAAAGCAGTGGAAGAGGACCCAAGAAGTGTCAACCTCTGCCATCCATGTGGGAGACTCAGGTGAAACACCTAGCCTTTGTGGCTATTTGGGGAGTGAGTCAATGTAGGGAAGATCTCTCATTGTGTCTGTATTTTGTCTCTCTCCCTCTATTTCTCTGTAACTATTTCAAATTAAAAAAAAACTTTTAAAAAAGATTTCCATATGCCTTATCTTCATGCCTGGGCATGAGTCCTACCTCCCCTTTAGATTCCAAATTTCTGTTAATGTTGACCCTGAGAAGCAGGTATGAAAGTAAAAGTGATAGGTTCCTGTCACACAATGCAGAAAATCTCTATTGAGCAATAGGTTCACAGCTTTTTAAAAAAATATTTTACTTGAAAAGCAGAGTTATGAGGGCAGGGGGAAGACACAGAGAACTCTTCCACCTGCTAGTTCATTTCCCAGATGGCCAGGATGGGTGGGGATGGGCTAGACTGAATCTGGGCACCAGGAGCTTCTTTTGTGTCTCCCATGTGTGTGCAAGAGCCCAAACACTTGGGCCAGTCTTTGCGAAAGCTACCATGCTTTCCCAGGTACATTAGCAGGGAGCTGCACAGGAAAGGAAGCTACTGGGACTTGATCTGGCACTCATATGTGGAATTGGTTTTGGCTTTACCTACTGTGCCACAATGCTTGCCCCTGTGTTCCCAGCTTTGAGTCCTGGCCTGAGCCACTGTGGGTATTTGGGGACTGTACCAGTGGATGGGGAAATCTCTCTCTCTCTCCCTGATCCTCAAATAAATAAAAAGTTTTTTTTAAAGATTAGTTTCCTTTGGTGCAAAAAAATAGAATCATGCACAACTTTTCATAACTTGCACTTTATGTGAACCCTTTGACAATCTCTCATAAGCATGGATTTCAAAATTTATGCAATCACGTCTTTCAATTCCATTTTTTTGGAACTTTGTCAAGTTCCATATATTATGCAATATATGAAATAGTTTCACTCACAGAAGAGGTTAGGAATTCTGTTGGAGGAAATCTTTTGCTAGTTTTTCATACACAATTTCACAAGATCAAAGTTTGAAAGGTGAAGTCTACTTAAAAGAATGTCTATGAAGTAAGATTTTATTTCAATGTTATGTTTTCTTCTTTTTCTAAATAGGGATACTATCTTCAGTACATGCATTGTGTGAATACTGTTAGCCAAGACCAGCTGTATAATTTGCAGGGCTGCTAACTGAAAAGTTAAGAATTTCAGCAGGGAATTAAACTCAGTATGGTGCCCATGCAACTACAGATGCGACTCATGCATTTTCAGGGCACTTCACGCCCCTCCAGCTTTTCAGTGAGGAGCTTCCCTGTACCTGGCATGCCCCAGTTACCTCTGCTATGAGCTCTGCAAGCCCCGGGTTGCACAGCAAGAGCCAGCGCCTCGGAGTGATCCCATTGGTTTTATTCTGGAACTTGTCAGGCTCAAGCTCACTGAAGTCCTTGAAACTGGAAAGGGAAGAGACATTTCAGTGCAGTGGATTAAGCTTGTTTGTGACATTGACATCCCACCTCAGAGTGCTGGCTAAAGTCCTGGCTGCTCTGCTTTTTACCAAGCTTCCTGCTCATACTCTTTGGGAGGCAGTGGATGAAGCTGGAGGACTCGGTCCCTGCCTGGCCCAGTTTGAGCTGCTGTGAGCACTGAGGGGTTGAACCATCACCAAATGGATGATCTCTCCTTCCTTCTCTCAAGTCAATTTGCCTTTTGAATCAACAAAAATGTCTTAAAAATAATTTAAAAAGTTCCAAATCTGCTCCTTTCCGCTTGACTTTCAGGCATTTAGAACTATACCAGTTTCCAGCACAACAGGAATTTTGAGATCTTAAGTCTAATTTGGATTGTTCAGAGAAGGAATTTTACTTAGCAAAAGGACCCTTTATACACAGCATGAAAAAAGTTATTTATGTGACAGGCAAAATGATGGAAACAGACAGCGCTCATCTACTGGTCCACTCTTCAAATGCCCTCGGTAGCGTGTCACTGGGCCAGGAACCAGGAGCCAGGAAACTAAACCCAGGTCTCTCATGTGGGTGGCAGGAACCCATGATCTGTTGGCCATGACCTACTGCCTCCTTAGCTGTGCAATAACTGGAAGCTGTCATGGAGAACAGACCCACAACTAGAAAGGAGGCACTGATAAATGGGCGACAGGAGTCCCACGTGGCATTTTAATGTGATAAACAGCTGTCCCTGCCTAGAGCATGGTAACAGAACCTTCCCTCATCCTTCAGTGCAAGCCTGCAGGTAGTGGCAGTGAGTTCACGGACAGGGCAGCGCCACACCCACCGCCACAGGAGTGTAGGCTCACACTTGGGTCTTGATGATGTCCGAGTGGATTTTAGCCACCCCGTTCACAGCATGGGAGCCCACGATGCAGAGATGTGCCATGTTGATTCTTTTGCCTCCTTCCTCTTCAATTAGAGACATCCTTCGCAGGCGGTCGACATCTTTAGGAAACAAGGCCACAATTCTCTAGCCAAAGGGAGGGAAAAGACCTTGCTGGTCACTCAGGTTTAGAGCAAAATTAGGGGATGCTATGCTTGTACCTGAGCAGAGTAGATCTGAAGCTTGACTCTATCACAGAAAGGAGTCGAGACACTAAGACAGTCCTAGGGTAGTGTCCTTGCTGCATTCTAGCCCCATTAGGAAGGGACCCCGAATGGAGTCCCCTTGCGCTTGCGCACGTTCGGTATGTCCAATGACTACTGTGGATGCTGTGGCCATCCTTACTGCATAAAGACTCACAAATGTGAGTCTCAAAATGACTCACATCCAAGTGCTTCTGGTTGATCTCATAAATGATCTGCAAGTGACGGGGCAGCAGCTTGTCCACCAACTCCACTGGCCAGCGCTCCAGGGCTTCCGGGAGCACAGTGTGGTTGGTGTAGGCGAATGTCTTCCGGGTAATGTCCCAGGCCTGCGGGAAGGAGAGGGCACCAGTGCTGTCCTCTGCAGATGAACAATCCCCTGCACCCTTTCCCAGCATTTCCTGAGCACCAGCCTGTCTGTAACCGTCAGACACCCTACTGCACTAGGCTCTCCCAGATAACAGAAGCATGTCTAGGGCAGCGGGAGGAAAAACAGCTATTCACATGACTGATAAAAATCAAGTAAACATTCAGATAAATCTTGCATCTTTTCATGTCTCTTTTTATACACAGATTTAGGATTTAAAACCTTTGAAATACTCCCAGTGGATTCAAAGTATGTTTAAAATGTTAATTTCCAAAACTAGGTCAGCCATCGCCAATTAGCTGTCTTTGGAGGTTAGAGAGTCTAATTTCAAATTGTTTTACACACAAGACAAACACAATCTCAATGAAGCTATTGCTCTGTTTCCTGCCACGAATATATTTAGTTATTTTTTTTTACTGGCTGTCTTTCTGGAAAGCACATAGGAAAGTGAAATGTCAACATCAGGGCAAAACAGACATCCACATGATGTAAGTTAGCAACAGTAACTTATTTGTAAAAATTGAAAAAGGAGCTTCTTGCAAAATCTTTTGGGTACAGATATTCTGGTGCATGAAAATAAAAAAAGAAGTCAAAACCATCCAGACCTTGGCCCAGGGCAGCTTTTCAATATCCACAAAAATCCTCATGAGCTCAGGGATGGCAAGTGCAGGGTGAGTGTCATTCAACTGAATGGCTACCTGGTGGAGGGGAGACAGCACAGAGCCAAGGCCAGGGTCAAGCTTGCGTGTCCTCATCCACGCCTGGAGAAGCAACCAGCAAGACGCCCTTCTAACCGCCCCCACCCCAGGTACAAAACACACAACCCCACCATGTACTCTCAATATGGTTAGTGCTGAGCCAGAGGGGTGTGCGTCTGACCTGACTTCCATTCTCTCCCATACTTGCCTGCTCGGGGAAGGCATCAAACATGGTTCCCGCACTGCTGGAGGAGCCAGGCTTGGAGGCTTTAAAACGCCGGATGACATCCTGCAGGGTGGCAGCCACCACAAAGTACTCCTGCTTTAACCGGAGCTCCTTTCCTTCAAAAAACTTCAGGCCAGAAAGACACATGAACACAGCTGATGCACAGGGGCAGGCAAAATGTGATCCATGTTGTCTGCGCTGGCCATGTTAGGCAGGAAGCCCACTGCACGAGGGGTAAAATAGCTTCAAGGCCAAAGCCGGAGCCTTTACCCTTTGCTAAATGTCATTAAAGTGATGGCAAAGGCACTTTTGCATTTTTTATTTAAAAGCCAGAGAATCAGAGACAGTAAGCTTCTCCCTTCTGGTTCCCTTCCCAAACGCCTGAGTTAGCCAGGACAGGGTAGGACCCATGCCAGAAGTGGCCAACTCAGAACCATGAAGAGCCCAGGCCTGGGGAAGGAGGCAGGGCAGGAGGTGTGCAGGGACTTGTGACCTGGGGAGGAGATTTCTGTCTGGTGGGGAAGTAGTGCCTCCCCAGTGATTCATCTCATCCTTTCCAGGCCAGGTTTGTTCTGCAGTTCACCTGCAGAACTGCCCAATTGGCAGCTAGGTCACTGACCATGCACAAGATGTCTATTTTGAATTCATGAATTAGACAAGCCTGTGTTCCTTGCTTGGCTGGGATGGGGGCGGTGGGCTGTAGGTAACAGGAAGAGACATGGAAATAAATTTTTTTTTCATTTTTTATTCTGCATGCAAATAAAACCTCTCAATGTGAAGTGTGGGTTGCACAGGGATACTGAGTGGGTGCTGTGAAACAGCAGCTTCTGTTGCAATAGCAAGCTCATTACTCACATTATCATTGGGATAGAGGACACGGGAGATGTTTTCTGCTAGGTTTCGGTCCAGCACTGCCTGAATGTAGTCTCCAACATTAACTTAGGGGAATTCCAGAAGAACAAGAGACAAGTCAAGTTTAGTGTGACTCTAGAGAACAAAAAGATGCAATACACTCACAAAGAAACCAGAGTCCATGCTGTACTCACAGTCTCTGAGGTTAAAGTCATTGGGCGCTCGAGCAGACCACAGGCGCATGGTGTTGACGGTGTTGTTCATATAACCAGGCACGGGGGTGTCATAAGGCAGAGCCAGGACTACCTGTGGGATTAAACAAAGCTGCTGGTCACTGTTTTCCAGGTGTGAAGACGCAGGTTTAATGACAGGCATGGAGACTGAAGCACAATGTTGTCCCTGGCTCCACCAGCAACTCAAATTGTGTGAGTATAAACCAAGAAGAGGGACCCAGGGCCAGAGGTGCTGTAAGAGCTCATGTAGTTCCTTCTTCAACTGAGGCACCTGATGTTCACACCACCCAGCTTGAAGGTCCTCCACAGCACTTGTATGTTGACCTCTCATGTGTCCCTCAGACACACAGCAGAATAAGATGCTATGGTGTTACTTTTAGAGAATGTTTATCTTTCTTGTTTCAGATCAAGCAATATCTCTAATAATAAAAACATAGTAAAGAAACATAGTGTGAAGAAAACACAAATGGGTGCTGACATTGTGACATAGTAGGTTGAGCCACTGTTGGCGAATGCTGGAATCCCACTGCTAGGATCCAGCTTCCTGCTAACGAGCCTGGGAATTCAGTGGAAGATGGATCTCTGCTAATCATGTAAGACACGTGCATGGAGTTCCAGTCTCCTGACATCATCCTGGCCCAGCTCTGGTCATTGTGGTCATTTGGGGAGTGAACTAGTGGGTGGAAGATCTCTCTATTTTTATCTTTCTATATCTCTCTCCCTCCCCTAACACTCTACCTTTCAAATAAGTAAATCTAAAACAGATTTACAAATGAAAACCTGTACTGTCCAACCAAGAGTTCAAAAACAATTAGGCTAAGCTTTTCATATGTTCATCAATAATATGATTTTAAAATATGGTGAAAAAACCAGCAGAAATGGAATGTTAGAGGACAGAATGTGTCATGTGAATATTGAAAATGCTAGCCTAGATATCTGTGGCTGGATCAAGAGTTATTTCAGTAGTTCCTACAGTGATCTGCCAAATCAGCTGACAATGATCTGAGCTGGGGCTATGATATGAGTGTTGGAAAATCTAGCTCAGTTTTTGAGTTGGTAACTGAATTACAGAACAAGAAGATGAAGGGTGGGGGCTGGTGTGATGGCTCAGTGGCTAAATCTTCAGATTTGTGTTGTGGATTGAAAGCGCCAGGATCCCACATGGGTACCAGTTTATGCCCTGGCTTCACTACTCATCCAGCTCCCTGTTTGTGGACTGGGAAAGTAATAGAAGACGGTCCATGTACCCATGTGAGAGACCCAGGAGAGTCTCCTTGCTTGACTGGCTCAGCTCTGGCCACTGTGGCCATTTGGGGAGTGAACAGTATATGAAAGGTTTTTCTCTCTCCTTCTCTCTGTAAATCTGCCTTTCCAATAAAAGTAAAGAAATCTTGAAGGAGAAGAAGAAGATGATGACGACAAAGGGGGAGGATGCTGAAGACTAATGTGAGAAACGGTCCATTTCCATTTCTTGTCTCATTACCATAAAGATGCAAGAGAGGAGGACAGAATAACCAAACTGGAGGTGCCAGATATCATTCAGAGCAATCCCTTCATTGTGCATATGACATGCTGGGGCTGAGAGAGAAGTAACTTGATCAAGGTCACCATCAGTGGCAGGATTAAAACCAAAACAGTGCACCAAAAATGAATGATACATGATGGTCCGTACCAATCATGTTCCAGTCATGTTTTCATGATCACTGTGACCTCGGGGTAATTGATCACCCTCATGTGATTATATTTCACTAAGAAATACCATGTCAAATGAGACATGATCACACAAAAAGGATCATTTGCAAAGGCGACTGGGTCTGGGTTCACACTGGAACCCTTGAGGTGTGACTGTGGCAGCCTGACATGTACACGACTCCAGGCAGAACTGACCTCTCCAAGTTTAAGTGGGGCTGAGATCTCTGCGAAGCTCCAGCCAGGCCACAGTGCTCCAACTGTGACTCCTCCAAGGAAAAGCCTTTGAGCCCAGGCTGCACCAGCCCAGCCATCTGCTCAGAGCTGCCTGCTGCCTGGGGCTCCCAGGAGCACCTGCCTGCCTCCCCTCCTTGCCTACTTTCACAAGGGGCACGCCTGCATTGCATCATGGACTCTTCCAATCTCCTCAAACTCTTAACAAAAGTGTCTTTTACTTTACCCACAGCCTCCCCCTACTTGATCACCTGCCCTTCTAATTTTCTCTGCTGTCTGCTTCTCCAAAAGTGAAATGATACAAGAATGAAATGAATGGCTCCACTGACTGAAAGCCATGGCATGCATGTAACAGTCTTTCTGGCCTCTTGCTCATGGACCCCTGGCAGCTGCACACTTGGGACTGACTCAGGTGATGGCTGCAGTTCACAGTGCCCTGCATGGCTTGGGGCAGCTCTTGTGTGTTACCTCTGCCGCTTATCCTTGCCACCATGGACAAAGAAATATTCACTCTTGTCAACTGGATTTCTAGATACATTGTGAAAATAATATGTGTACATTAAACCATTTATCTCTAAGAAGTGTGTGTGTGTATGTGTGTGCATGTATATGGCAATTGGGGTATGAATGATATCTAGATTTATTCAGGTTTAGTACTAACAACATTTTATAAAAGTAGAGAGCTAAGCACACTGTTACAGAACTGATTAAGCTTTGATGCAGCTGATTGTAAAATGATCTTGGCTAAGTCACCTGACCTAGAGGAAGTCACTTCTCTCTTGGCCTCAGCTCCTTTTTTTCTTAAAGGAGTAGAGTGCAGAGAAAAAAAGAACAGGTTCATTTCTAAAAATGTACTCTATTACTCAACACACTCTACTCATTATCACACCCTCATTTTTCTGAATGCCACACAGCAAACACACCCTCCACTGACTGTGCTGCACAGAAGGTGGACATCTGAGTACCTGGGTATCGACCCACTTGGTCCCGGTTGGGGTGTGCTCCACTTTCCCATAGAAGTGCACAGGCAGCATGAACTCAGGGCGGGCCTTCTCCCAGGGGTTTCCGTGCCTGAGCCAATCATCCGCCTCTTCTACCTGTAGAGAGAGGGTATGCCACTGTAGTCCTTCAGTTCTATCACAAGAACAGTACATTCATATGAGATGCCAATGCCACAGGCGGAGGCTTATCCCACTATGCATGGTGCTGACCCCTACAAGATTTTACTTCAAAGTTATGACAAGTCATGATCACAAGTTGTGTTTTATGCCTGCTTCAGGCACAGTACCAAGAGGAAAAAAAAAAACAGTTACTGCTTTTGAGACATTAGACAAACATTAATGTCAACAGTTATGGCAGCTGAGACATATGTATTCATTCATCCAAACATCACTCATTGCTTTCCAACAAGAGAGCCAGTAAGCTGCCCATTAACATTTGCTACCAGCAATAATAATGGCTGAGAGCAGGGCTCATGGAAATGACATTCTCAGGCAAATGAGCTGCAGTTGTGAGGAGAATTAGAGGCCGGGGGGGGGGGGGGGGGGCGGGGGGGGGCTGCTCTCAAAAATAGGACAAAGATACAAAGACCAGGCCAGGTTGGAGGAGGCGTGAGGGAACCAGCAAACCCCAGCTTGCTGAAATGCAGATTCTCAGTAGGCCCAGGGAGAGGTCTCAAGTGAGCATTATTATTTTTTTTAAGATTCATTTATCTGAAAATCAACATTATAGACAGAAAGATGGAGAGACAGATGTTACATTCATGGTTCACTCTCCAAATGGTTGTGAGAGTCTGGACTGAGCCAGTAGGCTGGGACTCCATCTGGATCTCCCATGTGGGTGGCAGGGCCCACATACTTGAGTTATCTTCTGCTGCCTTTCCAGGCACACTGGCAGGAGTCGGATGGGAAAGTAGAACAGCTAGTACTCAAGTCAACCCCTGTATGGGATGCTGTTGTCACAGATGGTGGCTTAACCCTCTGCAGCATAAAACCAGGCCCCCAGGTGGCATTCTAGCAAGTTCCTGGGAACTACTGATGCTGTGTGTCCCCAGAGTACATAAAGCAGCCAAGAGCCATAGGATCATACAAAGTCAATCACTACTCCTGTAATCCAAGCATAAACTCATGCCACCCATCATAAAGGAAGTAAGAAATACAATTCTAACAAGGAAGCAATTGAAGCTTCAGATGAAAAGAAGTCCACTAGCTCATGTTGATAAACCCTAGAGCAAATAACTGCTGAGATTAGCAAAGGAGCAAGGTAGGGGGCCTTACAAAAGACTGCAGGCTGGACTGCAAGGGTAGGCTGGGGGTGTAGAAATACCCGCCACTGTGAACAGAGACTCCTGGGGACAGGAAGGAACCTAGGCCTTCTGGCCTTGTTTCAGCTCAGGGGATATTGCAAAAAACACCTGAAGGCATCGCAAGAAACAAGAGCAGGGGGCGGCAGCAACCATCTTCCTCTCAAAAATCATGTGCAGGAGGGAAGGATGACTTATCATCTGATGAGAGAGGTTGCAGGTTCTGGAGCACCCCTTGGCAGCACACTCCCCAATTCATAAGAAGGTCAGAGGCTACATCTGCTCTTGGAGCAATTCACTGTTAAGTAGCAGGAGGACAAGTCAGCAGATTATTCTTATTGCCATAAGACGTTGCCTAGTGATGGGTGGTTTTCATTTCATGGGGTTCATGAGTTCTGTAGGAAACCTTGTTTGTTTGCTGTTCTTCCAATTCCTTGCTGATTAGCCAAAGAATTGGTGCACCACCCTGTCTGGTTTACAAGGCTTGTTTTAAGGTCAGAATGCAAAGCAAGTATAGTTAGTCCCCAGTGTCTATGGGAATTGGTTCCATGTCCACATTCAGATACCCAAACCCACGGATGTTCAAGTATTATGTAAGTATTACACAAAATGGTGTAGGCATACAACCTCTAGGCCTCCTCTCCTGTATTTTTTAAATCATTTCTAGAGTAATTCAGATGCTCAGTACAAAGCAAGCACTGTGTGACTGTGATTATGCTGTACTGTTGAGGAAATAATGACCAAAACAAAGCCTGCATATCTGCAGCCCAGCAGCAACATTTTCCTGAGTATTTTTAATCTGTATGTGGCTGATTTGGATGAAGAGCTCACAGAGATGAAGGACCAGCTCTGCTTTGTAAACACAAGCCAGTCTGAGCAGATGGGGTTAGAAAGAGAAGACTGACTGCCCTTGCCTCCATTCTATTCACAGAAGTTGCAGGGTGCAGCTGTACCTGCCCTTTACTGGCTTTCTTCCAGTCAGGTAACAAGTTGGCCCGTAACCTGAGATTCCTAAGGAGCCAGTGACCCCCAGATGTGCAGTCACCTGAAGAGGGGGGCAGGGTAGAAGGAAAGCTTCCCTTTGCACCCCAGGGGCCCGTGAAAGCCCTCTTGCCACAGCAGCCACACAAGGCTGACCCAGAAAATGTGGTTCTCTAGAATGATGATGCCTGCTGGGCTGGGCTGGGCTGGGCTGGGCATGGCAGACTGCAGTTGGCAGCGATTGGGGAAATTACTCAATGCAGTAGGTTTCCAAGTGGGGGTGGAGGAGGGCAGGGGTCAGCTCAGGGAGCTTTGGCAGAAGGTAATCCCGGGAAGCACTTTTCCTTTCAATCGTGGGACAGAGCACATAAAGAACCAGTGACAACTCTCAGAAGAGTCAACAAACATGGTAAATAATCTAACATGTTTCTGGGAAATAGCAAGAATTCAACAGTGTGCATGAGAAGCTTGCAAAGTTACTCTGAGCTGCTTGGTTGTGACTAACAGGACAGGCTTGGTCCACATTCTAAAAGAGAGAGAAAGAAAGAGAGAGAGAAAGGGGTTCATCAGGAAGACCCCATTTGATTCACATACAGGGAACGTCTTTCTAACCAGAACCATGGAGTGACTGCTAAGCATTCAGCTGAGGAAGTAGCAGCAGACTTGCCTCACAGGAGCCAGATCTTTTCTCTAAGGACTGTGGCTGAGAAGGTGTCAAAGACTCCCTTTAGACTTCATGGGAAGTCTATAGTTTCAGCCACTTTAGCAAAATTTTCCCTAGAGGGATTCATGGCCAACATTTTCTGACTGTAAATCGTCCTTGAAGATGCTCGAAAATTCCAAGTTCCGCATGTTTTACAAATCTTCCTAGCTTGGGGAGTCCTCCCAGCCTCCTCTGTGTCTGCCCCTGTAAGGCAGTGATACTTCCGAGAAGGCCATGGCGATGCTCTGAAAAGACTGCCTGCCTCCCTCATGGCAGGTGCCTTTGGTTTGATGGAAGTGGTTTCTTTTTGTGGTATGAATTATATGTTTTCCCTTTAAAACCCCATTATTTGAAGTGACTGTGGTAGGAAGTAGAATTCTATGTTCTGCTGATTCCATTTCAAGTCATGATGAAACAGGGGTGATGGCTAATGAGGCTGCCTTTGGAATACTTTGAATTAGCAAACCCTATTTACACAGGAAATACATATTTCCCTTGTCAGATAGAAGATAAAAGGACATTTTCTTGGAACAAAGCCCATGTAACAGGAGCCAAACTAGGGTTAATTAACAAAGAGTGACTTCGTGAAATTTGGGAGGGAGAAGATATACTTTAGAAAAAATGTTTTTGGAGATTCCTGAGTTTCTCTTAAATCTTCCATATACTAGTAGTTAAATCATAAGAAATGAAATCCTTCTACCTGTTGAGGTACGGAAAGTACCACCACATAGGACACCCCAGAGGCTGGAGATGGACACCTCCTGAGGGTTGCTTGGGCAGGTTGGGTAAAATGTCAGTCTTACTGACATTGCGGTTGCTATGCCAGGCTCTCAGTCTGGAATTCTGGATGGTTTTGATTGCAATGGGGGCCAAGTCTTTCCCTTTTCTGATTAGAAACACATTCTTACATAATGTAAGACAGGTAGAAGAGCAAATGGGGGGCAGTAATTCATTGCTCAGAGATGTGAGGCATGCTTTTTCCAGTATTTTTTCTTTCTGCTTTGGCTACCTTTGAGTAGTTAAAGATACACTATTCATATCATTCTATATCCTACTTTTAAAAAATGTGCTTGTTTTGGCAGCAAATATACTAAAATTGGAATGACACAGAGGAGATTAGCATGGCCCCGAGCAAGGATAACATGCAAATTTATATTCTGTATTTCTAAAAATAAAAAAAATGAAAACAAACACCTTCCCATTTCATTACAAGTCACTAAGGAGTAGCAATGATTATATTAATCTTTCATATAAAATATTTTGATATCTTTGATTATCTCAGATTTTTCAAAGTAAAGTAAACCTTGTTACTGAGCACTCATTTGTGTTCTAGTTATCTTACATGCTGTCATCATAATTCTGCAAAATTTGTGCCTCAATTTTCCAATGGGAAAACTGAAACTAAGAGAAGCTAGGTAACTGATGGTTGCCCAGGGCACTGGAGACTAGGGTCTGGTCTGCCCCGCCCCCACATCTCCTAGGCTCCAGCCTGGAACAGGAGGAGGGGCCACAGGAGCCAGTTACGTCACCTACCTGGCGGGATTCCAGGTGACCAATGGCACACCTGAATGGACATTCCTTGCATAGTTGGGGCACAGACAGCCCCTTTGCCTTCCCACGTGTCTAGAGGGGTATAAAACTCCTCCACACGTATCTCAGACGCCCTTTTCGCTTCCCTCTTCCTTCCCCTCTGTGCGAAGGGGGCCCAGGAGCAGATTTTCCAATAAAGCTTCCATCTCAACTCTGAACAACTTGCCGATATTATTCCACCAGCGGACGGGCGGTCGGTGGCCATCATCTAACAGTAAACACCTGCTTTCTGAGGGCATTGTGCTGAAATTAGAGCTTGAATTAGAAATTAGGATCCAAGCTTAGCTTCTGTACCCAGCTATTTTCCAATGTGTTTCTTTAGGGATAGTGGAACATACATAGCACTTAGCCACATTCACAAGCTTTTCTTATGATATAGTCCAGTATTGTCCTTCTAACCTTTTCTAATTCTATCGTCATGCCAGATCTGTTAGTTCTTTCTTTCTTTGGCCTGGAGGGTGTCCACATCCTACCAGCAGGGACAGAGAGTAGCAGAGTCCACCCTTTTTCTCAGTGAGCCAACCTTCCCCTCATGTTCAGTCCAGCTGGGTCCCTCGTGACCATCCCCGAGTGCTCCCCTGTTGGACTCAGTCTCGGGAGAGGAGGCTCTCAGAGAGCCCAGGCTTTTTGGAAATGACATCTATGAATTCAGTCAATAATGCACATGTACAGACAACATAAGGAGACAGAAACCCTAGCCCACACCCAGCACCAGTGACAATGGTCCATACTGGAGCTGCTCATAGGCTTTGAAGTACAAAACAAACACACACTTAAGAATGTGGCTTGGTTATAGCAAAGAAAGAGCAGAGGCATTTGTACAGATTTGTGCAAATTTCTATGTAACATTCAGTGATAATTTTTAAATTTATGCCAGATTTATTTGACATGGCTGCAAATCAGATGCCCTGATTTCATCTTGTAACCTGACTAGGACACTGAGCTTATGTGTCTGGGCAGAGAGGCTCATTCAGGAGGGCAGGACAGAATGTGCAGAGAACACGGAAGTGTGTACCTGTTACTCTTGTCACAAACCAACCATGACCAGCAGTGTGACCTGGGCTAACTTTGCTTCTTAAGAGACTCCATTTTCTCCCCTACAGAATAACCATATGTTTTTGGGGTTCTCCAGAGGGTGACTGTGAGCGCAAAGATGTGTGTTTCCCACTTTCATGCTGTAGAGAACAGGATGTCACATCCAGTCAGATCCACAATCGGTGGTCCACAAGAAACACTTTCAGAGCCCCTCATGAGGGAGGTGTTGTGCTGGGTGCCTTGCTCCTGGTGATGAATGATATCAGCAGACTCTGCTCAGAGTTGCAAAACAAGAAGACCGGCAATATCCACTGACACCAATCACATGGCATGGGAACAAGTAAAGCTCCCTGTTGGACATGTCAGAGGTCCCTGGAGTATCAGTCACTCAGAGTACTCTGAAACACAAGTGCTTGAAACACACAATGGGGAAAGCTGCTCACGCACCTGCCATCCCTCTCGGATCTTCTGATTAAAGATGCCGTATTCGTACCGTATGCCATACCCATAGGCTGCGAGCCCCAGTGTAGCCATGGAATCCAAGAAGCAGGCTAATTCAACAGAACATGGGCAAAAGAACCATTAATCTAGGTGATAATTTTAAATCATTCACCTAAAAATTATGGTAGCTACAAAACAGCTCTCTCTGAGAAACCATACTTAGCTTAAAGCATGGAAACCATTGAACAATAAGCACTGATTTTTAAAAAATATTTTAAATGACAATATTATAGAAACATTAGCCAATCTAAAAATGTCCAAATAAAATAAGTGTCACAACTTATGTCATCACCTAAAAGTAACATCTGTGTATACACTGGCATATGTCTTGAAACAGATTAAGGAAGTTGATCTATGTTAAGGTCAGGCCAATTATTGTAAGTCATGTGCTCCTTTATTTGTTAAAACTGAAGATTTAAAAAAATGCTTATTTCCATGGAATTTAAGCAATAGAGAGTGAGACAGATAGAGAGACATCTTCTATTTGTTAGTTAATTCACCAAATGCCTGCAACAGCCAGGGCTGGACCAGGCAGAAGTCAGGAGCCAAGAGCTCCCACTGGTTGCCCCAAGTGGGTGGCAGGGACCCAAGTCCTGGAACCATCATACGATGTTTCCTAGAGTAGGCATTAGCAGAAAGCTGGACTGGAAGCAGAGGAACTAGGACACAAATTATTCATATTACAGGAATATCCCAAGTGGTGACTTAACCACTGTGGCAAAAACCTACTTCCATGCCTCCCTTTGGAAAGTAAGTTATCTTCATGGCCCTTGCTTGAAAAGGCAGCCTCTTCCAGGCTGGCATTGGGTACTGCAGGTTAAGTTGCTGCTAATGACACAATCACCCAATAGGAACCCAGGTTCTAGTGCCAGCTTCCCTGCTTTCAATCTGGGTCTCTGCTAGTGTGCCCAGGAAGACAAAAGATGGTCCAAGTACTAGAGCCTTGGCATCCATGAAGGAGACCCAGACTGGGTTCCCAGCTCCTGGCTTCAGCCTGTCCCAGCCCCAACTTGCGTGACCCTCTGATGCAGCAAACCAGTGATTGGAATATCTTTCTTTCTCTAACTCTTCCTTTCAAATTAAAGAAAAATCTTTTTGAAAAATGAAAAGACAACCCCAGGGATGTACACCTGCTATGTGACTCCTTCCCTCATAAGACTCCTTGCAATAGATTTCCTCTGTTGCTCAAATAGAAGATAACCACATGCACAGGGCATCTGAAGGAGACAGTGAATCTTACTTGGCTGGTTTAGGCCTCCAGGCAAAGCATGTGGGGATTCTGCTCCCTTCAACAGTGATGCAGCCACTGTTATAGGGAGGCACTAGAAGTCCACAGGATGCCAGACCTAAAGCTCTCACATGACCATGATACCAAATTAACTAGCCTATGAACAGGCCACTCTACGGAGCTCGCATTCTGTGCAAACACGGGCCCCAGTTGCTTGAACCGTGTTCTGGTTGGTTTTCTGTGACTTAATGACAAAGAGCCTGATCCAGGACAGCTATCCATGGGCTGGGCAGGGATCTGCCTTTTGGATGGTACAAACAAAGGGGTGACATTAATTAGATTGTAGGTGCTGGAATCTGAACTGAGAAATACCCAGAGAATGCGGAAGTGTGCAACAGGAATTAAAATGACAAAGCTCCTCACTTGGGGAATAATTTCACGAGAACATGGCAAGGATACCCAGGCAGTGTCTCTGTGCTTTGTTGTAATTCTAGTGGTAGTGTTGAAGCACACCATTAGTAATGCAGTGAGGATTAGATGGCATGGACTTGATGCAAATGGTTTTCCATAACTTGAAAGTGTGTGCAAAATTAATGGATGGCAAACCAGTGCTAAGTGAAAAAAATACACATTTATTTTCAGAGAGTATGACTTAATATATATTTATTAGTAACAATTTATTATTAGATTTAAATTTCATAAGTAATACATTGATATATCCTATTTAAAATGTAAGCTATTACAGAAAAAAATTTTAAATGTTTACATTCTTTTTGGTTGTGACCCTCAGTTATGCTCTTGTCTAGAGGGAGTTATTGTTTAGTATTTAAAATTCCACAACTTTTTTTCTCTGTGTTTGTATATATACATACTTAGAGACAATATTTAATTTTCTAAACAACACAAATGACATGACATCACACACGGTTTTATTTTCTTTGAATCTAGCAATCTACTCAGGGAAGTACTTGTAAATTAATTTTATTCTTTGAAAATTACATTATAGTTAATATTTTGCTCCACAAATAGCACTATAATTTTTTACTACATCTCCTTGTGCATAGGTTTGAGTAATTCTTTGGAGAGAAGATCAAGGTATGGAATTGTATCATTATAGAGATGCCTATTTCTAAATTAATGGAGTTGGTGTTATGCCCTTAATTTTTTCCTCTTCCTTGCTAATAATTCCCTGAATAAGGCAAAGAACTCAAATTGCATTCATATGAACATATTATTGAAGCAAGTTATCAAGTGCATATGGCAAAACTTTCAGCTTAGTTCACGTCACCCAAGCAGGTGAGTTGGGCAACTGTGAACACATGAGTGAAGGAAAAGGGCCACTTTAGAAATTCTTAAGCACACAGGACGGATTTGGTTATCTGTGAGGTTTTAAGCAATGTGTCTTTTGTTCAAGTTCCCTTATATTGTAGAGAAGACTGTTAGTCTATAACTGACCAAATCACAATGCAAACTCAACAACAAATACATGCACAAACAGGTTATACCTTGCTCTTCTTCCAGGGCACCTATCAGGATCCTCTAAGTACCTGGCGCCTCAGAAGGCATCAGATGACCTCACATGGTGATAATGTCACTTACCAGCCAGCCTCCCAAGACCACCATTGCCAAGTCCAGCATCTTCTTCAATTTCTTCCAGCTCTTCCATATCCAATCCAAGCTGCCAATGAAAGGAAAACAGTGACAGAAGCAGACATGAATGCAGGCCATTTTGCCAATTGCCCAGGATGGTGCAGCAGCAACACGAAGAGGAGTATGGCCTGTAACATGTCCACTCCTGACTGCTACCTTTGCTGAATGGCCTTGGGGAAGCTACTCGAACTCTGCATGCTTTGTTTCTATGACTCAAAAGAAAAAAAAGTGGAGGACAACAGAACCTACCTCCTTTAGGATTGCGAATTCAACAAGATCCTACAAAGAAGGTATCAGAACCACCTGGGTCAAGATTTCTCCATGAACCTTCCACCATTATCATTTAAAAAAAACTAATTTTGGTGTTGTTGGGTTAAAGTCTTAGACACAGTCCATATGAGGCTGACAAAGATTAAGCTAAGGGAATTTAAAAAATGATCTACAAGTGTGAGGTCAGAAGTTTTAAGATGGGCTGAAGTTCATTGTTTCATGACAGAATATTTACTTGGCAGGGTCAAAAGTTGTTAACAAATCAGTCAGTGGGTCGTTACCTGAGACCTGGTGCCTCATGGCCATCAGAGAATCCTCAGTTCTGTGGTCTAGCTAGATAGGTCTGAAGCCCCCACTCGGCACTGGGGTGGATACGAGGAGGTTGTGGGAAGCTAGAGGCATCTGTAGACGTGGGTATGACTGGGACTGGTTGCTAGCAAGATCCCTGTTTCACAGTATTGAAGAATTCTACAGCTAGAATCCACTAGCATAGGGACAGGGAAGCTTTGGCTCACGGGTTGTAATGCTCATTAAAGTTATTCCGTGTGGTCCTACCAAGGCAACTTCAGGTGGGGCTCAAAATTCATTTACTCCACAGTAGGTTCCTTTATAAGCTGATCATTTTTGCAAGGCCCATGAGTAATGTTAGAAATATCCAAAGGGCCCTGGGTAGGAAAAAAAAGGGTCCCCCACCTCTGCACTAGCACCACCATGGACACATATTGGATTTCTGCAGCCCTGGAATTTGCTCTGGATTGTACATTCTACAACAGGGAAGCTGACAGTCAGATGAATCCAATGGCCTGCTCCCTATCTACTAGATGAGACTCTAGCCCCATCCTGGCTAAAGTATAGTCTCTTGCGAAATGACTGTGTACTTAGCTGAAAATCATGCAACCCCATCTCTACAAAATGGAGAAAACACACGTTCGAAAACACACGTTAAGGTGTAACTACTCTCAAAGTGGATGCTCCAGCTGCTTTCTGGGCCAAGTCCTGCCTGATGACTCATCTTATGCGTTCAAACACGGCTTTGTTTCTGTACTCTGTTGAAACAGCTTTTGGATTTGTTCTTCGTGTCTGGAGTTTATTTGAGTTCCTTGTACAAGCCAACTACTAATGCTAACACTCAAGAATTTTTTTTTTAATATGGGATTATAAATTTTGAGCAAGCAGGCACACAAAGGTCCCTTCAACCTCCCCTACTGTCCAGTGGTATGCCATGCTAAGGGAGTTACTTTCAGTTGATATCAGTTGATATTTTCAGTTGATATCAGGGGACACAGAAAAAGGGAAGTGGATAGGAGCTGCAAATGCTTCCTCAGGAAATATTCAACCTACGTGAAGGACACCAGCTCCTGGTGATGCCCAGCTGGCCACATAGAGGAAAGCTCATACGTAGGGAAAGACAGTGCTGTCTGCATGATGAGTCCCTTACAATGCTTCTTTGCAAACACAAATTTGTCCTTTCAACACAATCACCAAAAACCCTAATGACCAACTGTTTCTGGCAATGGAGACACTTGAACCTTAGACAAGAATCAGTTAAATATGCTCCTAGAAACAGAGCACCTTAGGGTGAAAATCCCAGGCCCCTCCTTTTAAGGAGGACAACTTTTTTTGTTTTGTTTTTAATCTTTTATTTATTATTATTATTATTATCATTTTATGATACAGTTCCATAGGCCCCTGGGATTTCCCTTATCCCTTCCCCAAGTCACCCTCCCCCCCCCTTGCCCACTGAGTTCCCCTATATCATTACTATAGTTCTTCATACACAGTCATATGTCCATTATTGTGGGCATGGACAATGGCAGAGAGTCCATCATCCTATTGTCATATAGTAAACAGTTTCATTGGGAGTCCATCTTTAGTCTGGAAGTAGAGATGCATACTGCATTGTATCCTCACATCAAGATATGTTAGTCAAGGAGGCAACTTTTTAGAACCCTCTTTTCTTTGTTTCATGTCCCTGAGTGAAAATTCATTTCATTTCCTAAAGTAAAATGGCAGTTTAACGGGTGAGGATGAGCCAGCAGTGGGGCTAGGTACCTGGTAGATGGCCTCGTCGCATGCATTCTGCAAGCCCAGGTTGATCATGGTGTTCTGTAACGTACGGCCCATGTAGAACTCCAGGGACAGGTAATAGACTCTCTGCAACAAAGGAGAGTGAGGTCAGGTTTCTTCCACGGGCTCAGTCTTTGTGAGCACAAACACACAAAGCTGCAGGTGGGCACTGAGGCTGAGTCCCAGCTTTCCCTCTCCCAGTCCAGGTTCTGCTCATGCACCTGGGACACAGCTGACTGTAGCCCAAGGGCTTGGGTTCCTGCATTCCCAAGAGTCCCCTTGATGGATTTCTGGTCTCCTGGCTTCTGTCTGGCCTAGTACTGGCTGTTCTAAGAAGTTAAGGAGTGAACCAGCAGGTTGAAGCTATCTAGCTGTTTCTCAGTTTCCCTTTCTCTCTCTCGTGGCCTTTGAAATCAATCAATTAATCATCAATCTTTACAGAACACCACAAGGTCATATGTCAGGCCACCAATATGAATTTTAAAAACCAAGATTAGTTGAACACAGGCCAGGGTGAAACTTCTATAGACATGTTGCAGTGTAAGCTTTTAGGAAACCAGTTTATATGCAATTTTTGACAAAAGAATTCGGCATTCAGTACATTTTTAATCCCCACAAGGAACACTAAAGCAAACTAATCCCACATTCAATGGTGTCTGGATTTCTTTCCTCTTCTTATACATTAGGCTCAGGAATAAAAGACAAACAGAAGTCAGATTGACACAGCTCTTGATTCACTCATAAAATCTTCCCGGGTGATTTTGAGGGTAAGAGTCAGACACAGCATGTCACATCATCCAAGAAACACAAGGACTGACTGCATCCTGAAACAAAACGGTCCTCCATGACTGAGTAGTTCAAGTAAGTTTGCAATTACTTTTGGAATTGAAATCATTCTAGCAAGTAAGTCTATGTACTTGGGAGAGTTTCTTCTGAGTGAGAAGACCAGCTCAGATTTCTGATAAAAACAGAGGCTTTTCTGTTGACTTGAAAACTGTTTGACCTGGTCAAAGCCAGGTACATTTTATCAGCATTGCAAGTGAGAGGTACAAAGATCAGATTTGCCTAAAACTTTTTTTAAACCTGTATACAAGTGCTGTTGACTCTTTAAAAAAAAGATCAATGTGTTAACATCTTCTCCTCTTAAGATATCTCTGATCTGTGGCCCTTTTCTTCTCTGCCACACACAGAACCACAGAAATCTGTAGGTACAGCCGTATAAATCTGTCTCAAACTTCAGAGACTTCCTTGCTTCCATAACAATGCAAGAGAAAGAGATTTGGCCACCCCGAAAATGTGAAAAATGTATGAAAATGCTTCAGCATAATACTTTTTTCGGGTAACATTTACTCTCTTGGTTACTCATATGAAGAGTAGAAAAAGAATTAAAAATATGCTTATTTTGGTGCAAAAATGTTTGAGGTTTATGCCTAATTTTTGTTTGTTTGTTTGTTTTGTATACCATGCATTTAACTGAGTTCTGTTCTTACCTACTGTCAACTCATGGAACAGCAGTCAACATTCAGGTCACAGTGTGGCATCCAACCTGCTGTCTAAAGCCAAGCGGCTTCATCCAGGTTGAGTCAGCAGTCTCACTGCTGGCACTATGGCTTTATCAGCCAAGTTGACATCTTAGTGTGACTGGGGAAAAGCACCTTTCCTGGTGCAGACAGAAGGCAAGCAGGGGCAGGACCCCACTGAGGTTCCCGGCTGGGGCTCACACCCTTGAAACTTCTGCTGTCACAGACACAGTATCTCAACCACAAACACTCACTTGCATAACAGCACAGTTGCTTCCTTATCTGCATTCTTGTTTTTTCTACAATTAAATGACGAATTCGGTTTCCTTTAAGAGAGCTCCAAAAAGGTCATTTGTAAATGCAGGGTCTATCTAACACTTGAAGTCTTGAGGCTGCATCTGAGCTATATTTCTTTGCTTCTCTTTTAATGATTTCAAATGAGTGTGAACTTAAGACCTTTTAAGACAGGACGTAAATGACAGAGCCTTATTTGATGGGCTTTATGAGGATGGAGATTTAAGGCGAATTTCTATTTTCTCACAAATAATACTTTGGGGGAGGGGGAACTCACCTTATATTTGGGAATACACAAGACCTTGAAAAATAGATCTCTCAGTGAATGACCTACCAATATTGATGACAATGCCTAATATTAAAATATATGAGTTATCTACAATATGCCTTACAAATGATATTCCTGCATTACCATCACAAACATTTTCTGTTCAGGGTGCAAATGTTAACTTTTTCAGAAGGCTTCTAAAGATAAAACAAGGAGGACACAAGCACTGAAAAGTCCGCCTTATGCTTTAACTTGTTCCCAGTCTGAATCAGAGGACCTGGGTGGACCTGGGGAGGCGTGTGTGCAAGAGGTGGCAGCCATGTGACTGCGACAGGTGGGAGTTGGGCAGAGAGACACACACTGAGAGAGGCAGTCCTTATAAGTGAAGGGTGCAGTGCGAGCAGATGCCCAGATGTGGGCACTGGTTTTGTTGGAGAGCACAGTAGGTACAGGGGGTTATGGGAGATCAGATGGGCAGGACAGGTTCACCTGGACCAAGAAGGCTATGCATGCTGAATGAAGGACCAAGTCAGGCAACGGGAGCAAGTAACAGGGCAAGAAGTGTTCCTTTGCAAAGCTTAACTGGACGACCATGCACACAGTGAGAGGAGATTGTGAACTCAAATGCCGTCTAACCAGACAGGGAGGATAAGGGTGTCATGGAGGTTACAGACAACTCTGAGGACTCCTGGGCCAAGAGTTGTAGTGGTTACACCCTGCCTGAAGGCATGGAAAACTAGGAGAAAAGTGTCTGGCTGGCCAAACACAACACCTCTGCCAGACATGGTCATGGCTGCCACCAGCTCTACTGCATCTGGGAACAGAATAAGCCCTTAGTGTCTGTGGCAGGGGACCAGTCATCAGGGCCTTAAGCAGACAGGAAATGAGCATGGAGGGCAGTGGCAATTTGAAGGCAAACTTTAGAAACCAACAGAAATATGGCAATCCACTGATTGGGAAACACAGGAAGCAGGCTCATGGAGAAAGTTTCACTGTCTGATTGACTGGCATGCTGGTATCCACATGAAAATCAGGCACACAGAAGACGGGGTAGATTTGGGAACGATAATGATTTGTGGTTTTAAAATATTTATTTCTTTATGTGAAGGGGGTGGTGAGGAAGGGAGGAAGAGTGAGAGCTATCTCATCCATCTGCTCCATCACTCCCCAAATGCCTGTAGGAGCCAGGGCTGGAGCCAGGAGCCAGGAACTCCATCTGGGTCTCCCACAGCTGGGGGCAGAAACTAGTAAGCTACACTGCAGCTTCCATACCAATATCTCCTATGGGAGTCACGGCTGCCCCACTTTAGATCCAGCTTCCTGCTAACACTCCTGCAAAGTCAGTGGGTGATAGCTAGCCCAGGTGTTTGGGTCCCTGCCACCCATGTGGGAGACTGGGATCCAGCCGCAGGTCCCTGACTGGGAGAAGCTCCAGGTCCTCGCAGCCATTTGGAGAGTAAGCCAGTGGATGGAAGAGTACACACTCTCTTTCTCTCCTTGTCCTTCCTACTGTGCCTTTGAAATAAATCCAAAAAGCACATACACAGTGAGTAAGTGCTTGCACAAAGTATCTTCTCCAGATTCACTGTGATTGCTAAGGCTGCATCTTAGCAGCTTCTCCCTTTGGTGGAGGCTGTGCCCTCTGGGGTGGGAGCCCTACCAGCAGCGCCTGAGTCTCAGGATTTCCTTTCTTAAAGTCTCAGTTTCTGGGACACTGGAGCTACTCAGACTTTGTGTCTTCATACTCTTGCATCCGGCAAACCCTCATCTGTGTTGTTAAGTATCCCTCAGGGTCCCAGGAGAGGGTCATCCCATCCTCTTTGCAACACACCTGCACCCC